CTGCAAAAAGTTTTAAATATCAGACAGACTGGAAAAACACCAAGGCATATGCATGAGAATGAACTGACAGTGGAAAGAGATTTAACCAGTTACACAGACTGGAAACATTTGGTGTCCATAACAGGGAGAGACTGCACATGTGTTCTACCTATCAACGAGACTCCACTGATCATTCAACCTGAAAAGGCACATGGACATCGTCAACATGGAGAGGCCGTGGCAATGTGCAGACTGTGGGAAGGGATTCAGATCTCCATCTAAGCTGGAGATTCATCGCCGCAGCCACACTGGTGAGAGACCGTTCACCTGCTCCGTGTGTGGCAAGGGATTCACTGATTCATCCAACCTGCAGAAACATCAGCGACTTCACACAGGGGAGAGGCCGTTCAACTGCTCAGAGTGTGGAAAGGAATTCACTTTGCTATCCAAGCTGCTGACGCACCAGCGAGTTCATACCAGGGAGAAACCTTTCACTTGCTCCGAGTGTGGGAGAGGCTTCACTCAGTCGTCCAACCTGCTGAAACACCAGCAGGTCCACGCTGGTGACAAGCCATTCACTTGCTCTGAGTGTGGGAAGGCATTCACACAGTTATCTCACCTGCTGACACACCAGAGAGTTCACACTCGGGAGAGACCGTTCATTTGTTCAGAGTGTGGGAAGGGATTCACTCAGTCATCCCACCTGCTGACACACCAGCGAGTTCACACAAGGGAGAGGCCATTCACTTGCTCTGTGTGCGGGAAGGGATTCAGTGATTCATCCAATCTGCAGAAACACCAGCGTGTTCACACTGGGGAGAGGCCATTTATCTGCTTGGAGTGTGGGAAGGGGTTCACTCAGTTATCTCACTTGCAGACTCACCAGCGAGTTCACATCAAAGAGAAGCCATTTACCTGCTGTGTGTGTGGACAGAGATTCACTGATTCTTCCAACATGGAGACACATCAGCGAGTTCACAAGTGACTACAAGGGTTGGATGCTGCTGTTAATTACATTCAGCACTGAACTATGTTCATTCTGACAGTGGGTGAAGTGGGGGTGTTGGTTGGAGGGTGTCTTTCTGCTGGACTGGCCGGTGTCTCCACTTGTTTCCAGTCGCCTGATGCTCTTTGAGCCTGACTGCACATTTCCATTGAAATGATCTGCAAATGTAGGTTTACTCCTTCCTGGATAGTTCATAGAGTTTTCCTACCACTACATGTAGATCTAAAATAAATACATTTGCATCTGCTCCATAGAGTCTATAGTGTAGGACCAGGCCAGTTGGCCTTAGCATTTATGTCCATACGAGTCTCCACTCTTCCCCTTTCATGCTCCCCAGCAACATATCCTTCTAATACTTTCTCTGTTATGATTGTATCCAGCTTCCTTTAAACATATCCATATTGTTCAACTCGAACCCTTGTGGTAGTTGTGGTCCACATTCTCACCACTCGCTAGGTTGAGGTTTTTTATGCAATCTTATTAGTTTATTGAAGCCCCTAGCATCAGGTTGCCCTTCTCTCTTCTGTCATTTAGAGCAAAGCCTTTCCTGAGGGTTAAATGCTTTCAGTTCTGATTCTATTTTTGTGAATCTGTGTGGCACCTTCTCCAATGCCTCTATTTCCCTTCTCTAAATGGAGATCATGAATGTTGACAGTGGAGTCTAACTGGTTCTGAATCAGTTGAATATAACCTTCCCATTTTTCAATTTCTAGCCCTGTGGAAAGAAGACCCACTCTTCAGGAATGCTGTGAAGTTCTCAGAGAGGCTATAGAGGGGAGTGGTGAGAATGATACCAGGGTGAATTGGAAAGACTTGAGCAGCTGAAAGGATTGTCTTTAGATGCTCAAGTCATTATGGCAGAGAAGGCCTTTCAGTCTTTGCTGGTTCTTTGTAGAAATAGGCACTCGGTTCCACTGCACCATTGTGTTCTGACCCTTGTAAGTTTACCTCCCCAAATCCATTTCAAAATTGTTAATTAACTTTCACCTCTTTCTTCAGCAATGTCATTAATACTCATTGCATAATGTTCCTCCTCTCATCCCCCCTGCATTTCTTTCTGAAATGAATAAATCTGTCTCCCCTTGTCCCCATGCATTAATAGGAACAGCTTTTCTTCATCCACCTTTTCCATTGTCTTGTTCACCTCGACCAAAAAAGCCTTTGCTCCAAGGAGAACAACCGGAGCTTGTCAAATGTAAAATGTAGCTAATCTTGCTCATCCCTGGGATCATTCTAGGAAAATCTCCTCTGCCCCCTCTCAAGGACTCTCACATTCTTTCCCAAAAGTGGTGACCAGATTGGATCAAGTTGTAGCCAAACCTCAGCTTTATTATGTTTCAGCAGAATGTCCCTGCTTTTGTTCTAAGTGTCTATATTTCTGCTGTATTACTTTCTCGCTTCATGAAAGGTTAAGTCATATGTGCCCATGGTGTTGAAAGTAGTATATTGGTGTGGATAGAGAACTAGCTAATGGACAACAAACGGCAAGTGGGAATAAGCAGTTCTTTTTCAGGGTGGCAAACTGTAACTAATGGGGTTCCACAGGTATCATTGCTGAGAGTGCAACTGTTTAAAATATATATTAATGACGTGGAGAAAGGAAGCAAATGTACTGTAGCCATATTTGCAGATGACAAAAACAGATGGAAAGGCAGGTTGCGAGAGGAATACAAACAGTTTACAGAGCGATATTGATAGGTTAAGTAAGTAGGCAAAAAATTGGCAATTGGAGTATAATGTAGCAACATATGAGGTTGTTCATTTTGGAAGGGAGAACAAAGAACTGAATGTTATTTAAATGGAGAAAATTTGCACACAACTACAACACAAACGTACTTGTGTACTAAACACAAAGCTAGCTCACAGGTAATCAGGAAGGCTAATGAAACATTGGCCCCTTGTTTCAGAGAGGTTGAAGTATTTTTTATTTATTCATGTGACATGGGCTTTGCTGCCTGGCCAGCATTTATTGCCTGTCCCTAGTTTCCCTTGAAGGAGATGATGAGCTGTCTTCTTGAACCACTGCAGTTCATATACTGTAGGTTGACCTAGAGAGGGAATTCCAGGATTCTGACCCAGCAACACTGAAGGAACAGTGATATATTTCAAGTCAGGATGGGGAGTGGCTTGGAGGAGAATTTGCAGGTGGTAGTTTTCCCATGTATTGGCTGCCCTGTCCTTCTAGGTGGAAATGCTTGTGGGCTTGGAAGGTGCTGTCGAAGTTAAATTTCTGCAGTGCATCTTGTAGATGGTACACACTGCTGTTACTGAGTGTCAGTGGTGGAATGGATGTGGTGTGAATCAAGGGGCCTGCTTTGCCCTGGATGGTGTCAAGTTTCTTGAGTCTTGTTGGAGCTGCACCCATCCAGGCAAGTGGAGAGTATTCCATCACACTCCTGTCTTGTGCATTGTAAATGGTGAACAAGCTTTGAGGAGTCATGATGTGAGTTTCTTGTCACAGTTTTCCGAGCCTCTGATTTGCTCTTGGAGCCACTGTGTTTTGTGGTGATTCCAGTTGCGTTTCTGGCCAGTGATAACCTTAAGATATTGATAATGGGGAATTCAGTGATGGTAACACCATTGAATGTCAAGGAGTGGTAGTTTGATTGTCTCTTTATTGCAGATAGTCATTATCTTTCATTTGTGTGGTGCCAATGTTACTTGATACTTATCAGCCAAAGCCTGGATATTATCGAGATCCTGTTGCACTTGAACACAGACTGTTTCAGTATCTGAGAAGTCATGAATGATGCTGAACCATATAAGAGTGTATGAGTAGGAAAGCCTTGCTGAACCTGTACAAGATGCCGATGAGACCACATCTGAAGTACTGTGAGCAGTTGGCCATCTCATCAAATGAAATATGTTAGTTAATTAGAGGCGGTTCAGAGAAGGTTGACGAGGATGATCCCCAGTGCAGAGGAATTGTCTTAAGAGCAAAGGTTAAACCTTTTGGAATTTAGAAGAAAGGTGATGTCATTGAAACACAGAATTCCTAAGGGGCTTGACAAAGTAATTGCCAAGATGATGCTTCACCTCGTGGGAGAGTGTAGGAGCAGAGGGCATATCTCAGAATAAAGGGGTGCCAATTTAAGTTTCAAATGAGGAGGAATTTCTTCTGAGAGTTGAAACTCTTTGCCACAGAGAGCTGTGTGGTGAAACCCTTGTGTATATTTAATGCTGAGATAGATCAGTAGGAGAATCGAGGATTACGGGGAAAAGGCAGAAAAATAGAGCTGGGACAACAAGGTGCAGGGCTGGATGAACACAGCAGGCCGAGCAGCATCATAGGAGCAGAGAGGCTGACGTTTCGGGCCTAGACCCTTCATCAGAAAAGGGGGAGGGGAAGGGGGTTTTGAAATAAATAGGGAGAGCCTTGAGGTTTGTCCGGAGGGAGGAGGGTAACTTCTTCAGGTTAGGCATCCTTAGAAGAGGCTTCGCAGTGGGGTTAAAATCGAATCAGAGATAGTAGGAACTGCAGATGCTGGAGAACCCGAGACAACAAGGTGCAGGGCTGGATGAACACAGCAGGCCGAGCAGCATCATAGGAGCAGAGAGGCTGACGTTTCGGGCCTAGACCCTTCATCAGAAAAGGGGGAGGGGAAGGGGGTTTTGAAATAAATAGGGAGAGCCTTGAGGTTTGTCCGGAGGGAGGAGGGTAACTTCTTCAGGTTAGGCATCCTTAGAAGAGGCTATAGAGCTGATGATTATCTCGTCAGCTATGGTCACACTGGTAGAACAGACCCAATGGGCTGAATGGCCCAATTCCGATCCTACGTCTTAGCGTCTGACGTTCTGGCCAGTGAAGTGTTGAACTGAACATACAAAGAGGAGATAGTAGGAACTGCCGATGCTGGAGAATCTGAGATAACAAGGTGTAGAGCTGGACGAACACAGCAGGCTAAGCAGCATCAGAGGAGTAAGAAGCTGACGTTTCGGGTCTGGACCCTTCTTTAGAGGACCCTTCTTCATTTTCTGAAGAAGGGTCTCGACCTTATACACCTTGTTATACAAAAAGGAGGCCCAGCTTTCACAGAATCACAGAAGGAGCCATTCGGCCCATCGTGCCTGCAAAGGTTCGCTAAATGACCATCATTACCTAACTGTTTCCTTTAACATGTCACCCACAATTGAAGATGAATTTCCACTCATTTAACCAGACAGCGGCGGTTGCTTTTGAGATATTGCGTCCGGTTCATTTGCAGCTTCCACCCTCTCACTGCAGAAGGTCTATGGCCTAGTGATTGACGGAAACTGTAGACCAATAGGGACGGGGTGTGCCGAACATCCACCGCCAATCGGAGAAGGGCGGGGGTGGTACGTGAGCACCACGTCGGGTTTTTCCCTTGCGCAGGCGCACTGTAGTCGCGGCCACAAACGGTATGTCGCCTGTGAAATCGGAGGATCATGATTAAAAAGTGATATTAAAACTTCTCTAAGAAAAGAATGGAGCTGGAGAGTTGACTGTGAATATTTGATGGAAATTAGAGGATCCCTTTCTGAAATTTGCAGGGTATGGTTATGGGCTGCGGGATTCGAGCAGACCTGGGCCTTGTGTTCAAAACCGTCATCTTCATTGGGGTAAATGTTCATAGGACGCATGCGCAGCAGCCATGGCAATGGGGCACTGCGCAGGAGGGCGCATGCGCTACCTTACTTTCACTTGTGGTGGGAGGACGATCTGCACGGAGAAAGCGTAAGCGAGAAATGTTTCTTCTAATTGTTTTTTATTGTTACGACCGACGGTAATTTCGTTTTATAAACTCCTTTCACACATTTTAAATGCAGAAGGATTTGCGAACAAGCAGATCAAGCCAATTCGTCCGGACCTGATTATTTGAATGTGGAACGTGAAAGGTTTGTTTAGTTTATAGAATCAAAAGAGGCCCTTCAGCCCATTGAGTCAGAGAATCCCTACAGTGTGGAAACAGGCCCTTCGGCCTAACGAGTCTACACCGACCCTCAGAGCATTCTACCCAGAGCCATCCCCCTATAATCCAGGGATAGTAGGAACTGCAGATGCTGGAGAATCCGAGACAACAAGGTGCAGGGCTGGATGAACACAACAGGCCAAGCAGCATCATAGGAGCAGAGAGGCTGACGTTTCGGGCCGAGACCCTTCATCACCTTGTTGCCCCTATAATCCATCTACACATCCCTGAACACTACGGGCAATTTGGCATGGCCAATCCACCTGACTTGTACGTCTTTGAACTGTGGGAGGAAACCCATGCAGATACGAGGAGAATGTGCAAGCTCCACACAGACAGTTACCCGAGGGTAGAATCGAACCCAGGTGCCTGGTGCTGTGAGGCAACAGTGCTAACCACCGTGCCACCCACCCTACTGGCCTATCTACACTAATCCTAATTCCCAGCATTTGGCCCATAGCCTTCACTGTTACTTTATTTTCAAGTACTCATCCATGTATTTTATTTAAAGTTTGTAAGGTTTCCCGTCTGAAGTACCTTCGCAGGCATTTGAGGTTTCCAACACATTCAGTGATTTCCCCCTCAAATCCCTTCCATGCTTCCTGTTATCGACCCTTCAACTAAGGAGAACAGCTGCTTTCTATCCATCCTGTCTGTGCCTCTCATAATCTTATACACCTCAATCGGGTTTCCCTCAATCTTCTCTGTTTCAAAGAAAACAACCCAAGTTTATCTAGCCTGTCTTCATTGCTGAAATGCTCCATCCCAGGTCACATCTTGGTGAATCTCCTCTGCAGCCCATCCAGTGCAATGACATCCTTCATGTAGTGAGGTGACGAGAACTGCACAGAGTACATCAGCTGTGGCCTAGCATAACCTCCCTGCTGTGTTAATCTATGCCATGACTAATAAAGGCAAGTGTCCTGTGTGCCACCTTAACTACACTGTTCATCTGAGCTACCATCCTCCTTTGAGCTTCTTAGTGTCGTGCCATTCAGTGACTCCTTTATCTTGCCACTTCTTCCAAAGTGCATCACCTCACTTTTCAGTGATAAATTCCACCTATCAGTGATTTGCCACTATGAACAAGGGAATTTATTTGATTGGAAAGGCACCAAAATATTCAAAAACCTAGTTAGACCTGGAGAGCATGTTCAGTTCTGGGCATTACATCTGAGGAAGGAAGGATTGTGTTGGTCTTTGCTGGAGTGTGGAAAAGATTTATCTGAATGATTTATCCAAAGATGTGTGGTTTAGATGGATAGGCCATGCTAAATTGCCCATAGTATCCAGGGATGTGCAGGCTAGGTCGATTAGCCATGGGAAATGTAGGGTTTACAGGGATAGGGAAGGGGGCTGGATCTGGGTGAAATGCTCTTTGAAGAGTCAGTGTACTTGACGGGCCAAATGGCCTGCTCCCACACTAGGGATTCTCTGATTCTATGAATGATACCTGGATTCCAGAGAATGTTCAGCCTTTCCTCTTAATCCAATGATCATCGAGTCAATATCACACATACTGTATGCAGTCCATCAAGTTCAGTCTGGCTGTCTGTGGAGAAATTCGCGCTCTTGAGTGCCTATCCTGATTATCTTTATAAATCATTGATCCCCTTCACTCTTCACTCTTCACCCTTTTGGGCAGAGTGTTCTGGGTATTATCAATCACTGCATAAATAAAGTGTGTGCTTCTCTGTATGACTTGCTCAAAAATCATTTTTGTTTTTTGGTATATGTGCCGTCAGCTAATAGAAACAATCTTTCCTTTTGACCACCTTTTAAAAATCTGTCAACACCTTTTACACCTCAATCTAATATTCCCTCAACTCCTTTGCTTCAAATCTAACTTCTCCAAACCAACCATTTGACTAAATTCCCTTATTCGAGAACCATTCAGGTAAATCTCATCTGCATTCTTTCAAGAACCAGCATGGAGACTGGAACTGGAGCAATATTGTGGCCCCACCAGAGTTTTATATAAGGCCAACATGTTTTTCTGGCTTTTATACTCAATACCTTTATTTATGAAGCCCAAAGCCCTGTATATTTTGCTAACTTAAACTCCATCAAAGCACACTTAAATATCTATTAAGGTTAAATATCTATTTCCTCTCCCTATCCCTAATGCCAAAATGTATCACCTAATTTTGTGAGTTCTGAAGAAGAGTCATACTATCCCAAAGCATTAACTTATTTTCTGTCTCCACAAATACTGCCAAATTGGCTCTGTTATTCCAGGGCATTCTGATTTTATTTGGGGGTGATAGTTTTTGAGTTTAGAAGTTTGAGGGATAGTTTCATGCTATTAATTGGAACTGACGGGTAGATTGAAAAGGACTGTTCCCACTGGTTTGAGGAGTTTCAGATTAGGGGACATGGTCTAAAAATTAGAGCCAAACCTTTCAGGAGTAAGTTAGGAATCATTTGTCATGTAGATATGAGGGAGGTTTGGATCTGTTTCCTCAGTTCATTCAAGGTCTATGTGAATCCTAAATCTAACATTGATAAACCTTTATTAACCTTTATAAGGCACTGCAGCTTATGAAACAAAGGGTTACAGATCAGTCCTGGTGACAGTACAGTCATAGAGTTTTTCCCCAAATCCCCACAGAAAAAGGCCTTTGGCCCGCTGAGTGGGTGCTGGTCAAAACAACCACCTAACTATTCTAATCCCATTTTTCAGCACTTGGCTCATAACCATGGATGCCTTGGCATCGCAAGTGCACATATAAATACTTCTTCAATGCTATGAGGATTTCGCCTCTACCACGCTTACAGGCAGTGAGTTCCAGATTCCCACCACCTGGATGAAAAAAGTTTTTCTATGATGAATTAGACTCAGGTTGCGGGAGTGAATGCGGGAGTTAACTGAATGGTCAACTTCCTCAGGAGCTTCCAACATAGGAGGGGGCCAGTCAATGCTTTGTGCTTGTGTTTCTTTTTGAAAGAAGAGTCGCGTTTAATCTTCCATCTTCCTGTTTGTCATGCTGTAAATTCCTTGCACTTAAGTATCTGTTGACTTCCTTTTCAAATTCCTTATAATGTTAGGTCTCACCGCTTTTTCAGGCCCAGTGTTCCAAATTCTGACAACTCTGTTGGTAAAAAAAAACTGTTGAAGTCACTTAAGTTTGGAGGATGGTCAGGTGTAAACTCACTGGTATGAGAGTGGGAGCTGATGGTTTTCCCGTGCACTGGCTGCTGTAGGCTTTCTGAGTGCTGAGGGTCTTCGGTTTGAGACACTGTGGTTGAGTTGCAGGTAGATGAAAGTCCACTTCCTTTGTCCAATCCTCCATCTACTGTCTCAGTTTATCTTCTATCTCACTTTCTCCTTTCTCTTGTGCACTCCTCTCACAGAGGGCAGGTACTTATTTGGTATAGACTGAGTAGCAGGTTCCCTTCATTGAAGGATCTAGTTGGGTGTTTGGGGCGCTCGTAGATTCATACAATGCAGAAGAGGCCCTTCGGCCCATCAAGTCTGCACTGACATAACTACTGCTAAAGGTGTGCTAATCCAAATTTCCTGCACTTGTCCCATATTCCTGAATGTTATGGTTTTTTTTTAAATTTTGGCCTTCTATGTATTGATACAAAACATTCCCCGGGTACACTTCAAGAAATCCACACCTTCCAAACCTTTAACACTATGACAATCCCAATTTACGTTAGAACATAGAACAGTACAGCACAGGAACGGGCCCTTCGGCCCATGATGTTGTGCCAAACATGACACCAAATTAAACTAATCCCTTCTACCTGCCTTTAGTCCATATCCCTCCATTCCTTGAATATTCATGCGCTTATCTAAAAGTCCTTAAACACCCCTATCATTTCTGCCTCCAATAACACCCCTGGTAATACATTGCAGTCTCCTACCACTCTTTATGTAAAAACAAAACTTGCCCCTCACATCTCCTTTGAACTTTCCCTGTCTCACCTTAAATACATGCCCCCAAGTATCAGACATTTCAACTCTGGGGGAGAAAAAGATTCTGACAAGTCAACCCTATCTATGCATCTCATAATTTAAAGACTTCGATCAAGTCTCCCTCAGTCTCCGCCACTCCAGAGAAAACAACCAGAGTTTTACTAGCCTCTCCTATTAGCTCATACTGTCTAATCAGGGCAGCATCCTGGCAGACCACCTTTTGCACCTTCTCCAAAACTTTCGCCTCCTTCCTGTAATGTGGTAACCAGAATTGAACGCAGTGCTCTAAATGTGGCCTAACAAAAATCTTACAAAGCTAGAACATGACGTCATGACTCTATTGGTCAAGGAATTGACGACAAAAGGCAAACATGTCAATGGCCTACTTTACCACTCTGTCTACTTACGTGGCCACTTTCAGGGAGCTATGGACTTGAACCCCAAGATCCCTCTGTACATCATTGCTGTTCAGTGTAATGCTGTGTACTTTCCTTAACATTTGATCTCCCAAAGTGCAGCACTTCACACTTACCAGGATTAAACTCCATGTGCCATTTCTCCACCCAAATCTGCAACTGATCTATATCCCACTGTATCCTTTGACAGGCTTCTACATTGTTCACAACTCCACTGATCTTTGTTTTGTCTACAACTTACTAACCCACCCGTTTACATTTTCATCCGAGTCATTTATGTATGAGTAAAACAAACAGCAGAGGTCCCAGTATGGTTTTGTGCAGAAGACCACTAGTCATGGACCTCCAGCCAGAAAAAACACCCTTCCACCACTACCTCTGCCTTCTATGGGCAAGCCAGTTCTGAACCCAGGCAGCCAAGTCATCGTGGATCGCATGCATCTTAATCTTCTGGATGAGCCTACCATGAGGGAACTTGTTGAAAGCCTTACTATAATCTATGTAAACAACATCCGCTGCTGTACCCTCATCAATCACATTCATTGCCACCTCAAAAAAAAATTCAATCAAGTTAGTAAGACATAACGTGCCTTGCACAAAGCCATGCAGACTGTCCCTAATTAGGCCATGCTTTTCCAAATGCGTGTAAATCCTATCCCTGAGAATTCTCTCCGATAGGTTCCCAACCACCTTTGTGACCCTCACTGGTCTGTAGTTTTCTGGATTATCCCTATTTGTCCTCTTGAACAGAGGAACAGCATTAGCTACTCATCAGTCCTCCAGGACTTCTCCAGTGGCTAACCAGGATACAAGATGTTGGGAAAATTGAAATCCCTCATAATTATCCCATTATTACTCTGTGAGCTGTCTATATATTTGCTGCTTTATTTCTTGCTGATTCTTTGGGGGCCTATAATGCACTTCCAGTAAAGTGGCTGCTGCCTTAACATTCCTAAAGTTCTACCCTCAGAGCCTTCTTTGAGACACTTCCAAGATATTGTCTCTTGCTGTTGCAGTAATTGACTCCTTAATCAATCATGCTACACCACCACATTTTTTACACCGTCCTCTGTCTCACCTAAAGATCCTATACCCCTGAATGTTAAGGTGCCAGTCCTGCTCTTTCCTCAACTATTTTTCTGTGATGGCAACAATACCATACTTCCATGTGTCAGTCAAACCCATTAACTCATCAGTTTATTACATTTCTAGCATTAAAGTAAAGACATTCCAGCCTTCCTTTACTCTCTTGACACTCAGCATAGCTGAACTCACTGTAACTTGTGTCCTTTGTTGTAGCACGATATGTCCCTGTTTCATCGATATTCTATGTTCCATCCCCTGCTAGAGTAGTTTAAACTCTTCCCAACAGCACTAGCAAACCTACTTGCAAGGATGTTGGTCACATTATGCTTCAGGTGCAGACTGTCCCATTTGTGCACATCCCATCTTCCCCAAAAACGGTCCCACTGATCCAGGAACCTAAAACCCTCCTCTTCCACCAACTCTTGAGTCATACATTCATCTGCCCTATTTTCCTATTTCTCTGCAGCTGGCACATGGCACCAGGAGTAATCCAGAAATTTCAACCATTGAGGACCTGATTTTTAATCTACTGCTTAGCTCCATGAATTCTTGATGCAAGACTTCATTCTTCATTTTGCCCATGTTATGGTACCAATATGTACCATAACCTCTAACTGATCATCCTCCCTTTTTAAGATGCAGCCATTCAGTGATGTCCCTGACCATGGCACCAGGGAGGTCACACATCATCCTGGAGTCACGTCTTTGGCTGCAGAAACACCTGTCTGCTCCCCTGACTAAAGAATCCCCTATGACTGTTGTCCTTTTTTCCCCCTCCCTCTCCCCATATAGTCAAACCTCCTGTGGTGCCAGAAGTTTGGCTCTGACTGCATTCCTCTGAGGTACCAGAACCCTCATCAGCTCCCACAATGGAATGCTGGTTAGTGAGTGGGACCCCAGGAGACTCCCAAACTACCTGCCTGTTCTTTCTGAACTGTCTGGTGGTCACCCATTCCCTCCTTCCCTCTCGTCCCTTGAGCTGCGATGTGACCACCTCTCTTAAACGTGCTTTCCACATAACTCTCAGCCTTGCAGATGCACCACAGTGTCTCCAATCACTGAGATCCGGAGGCCCAACTTCTGCAGCTGGGAGCACTTCCTGCACATGTGGTCATTTAGGTCACGGGCAGTATCTATGACTCCCCACACCTAACAAGCTACACATTCTGCTCAGTTGGACTCTCCTGACATCTCATAAATTTACAATTAATGCCTTAGACTAGAATTATTAGTCTTGTTTTGTTGGACTTCCTACTGTATCACTAAGGTTATGAAAAATTAACTATGTTCCCACTGCTGTAAATCTGGAGGGTAAGAAAGGGTTAACCAGTAATTGTCAGGTGCCCAGTACTCTCCAATCCAGAGCCTTTTGGAGTTATAATGTTGCAGGAGCCACATTGAAGGTTCTTGCAGTGTTCCTACAGTTTACCTGTTACTGTGTCCCTCCCCGCCACTGTTGCTCTAAGCTAAGTGCCCTGTGAACACTAGGCCTGAATCTGCACCTTGCTAGATTTATAGGCTGACTCATGATCATGAGTCATCATGCCAACTTCACAGATGACCAGGTTCATTCAGCTCAATTTCACAGCCTGCCTTCTGTTTTGAATCAGTTTTACAGGGTTTCACAAGGAAGGATTTAAAATGGGAAATTCAAAGCAAATTCTCTGATGGAGACGCTTGATTCATCAGGACCTGAATGTCATTGGCCTTTGGACATGGAAGCAGAAAGCAGTGCTCATAGTGAAGAGAAACCATGGAAATGTGGAGATTGTGAGAAAGGATTCGATTATCCATCTAAACTGGAAACACATCGTCGCAGTCACACCGGGGAGAGGCCATTCACCTGCTCAGAATGTGGGAAGGGATTCAGTGATTCCTCTTCCCTGCAGAAACATCAGCGAGTTCACACTGGAGAGAGGCCATTCACCTGCTCCAAATGTGAGAAGGGATTCACTCAGCTTGCTCACCTGCTGAAACATCAACGTGTTCACACTGATCAGAGACCTTTTAAATGTCTGGAGTGTGGGAAGTGCTTTAAACATTCTGGGGACCTGATGTCCCATCAACGTGTTCACACTGATGAGAGACCATTCAGGTGCTCTGAATGTGGGACTGGGTTCAGGCAATCATCAGACCTCACTGTACACCAGCGAGTTCACACAGGAGAGAAACCATTCACCTGCCCTGAGTGTGAGAAGGGATTCACGACTTCATCTGACCTACTGAGACACCAGCGTGTTCACACCGGGGAGAGACCATTCACCTGCTCCGAATGTGGGAAGGGGTTCACTCAGTCATCCAACCTTCAGTCGCATCAGCAAGTTCACACTGACGAGAAACTGTTCAGATGCTCTTACTGTGGGTCTGGGTTCACAGGACCGTCTCAACTCCGTGTACACCAGCGAGTTCACACTGGGGAAAGGCCGTTCACCTGCCTTCAGTGTGGGAAAGGATTCACTCAGTCATGTAACCTGCTGAGACACCAGCGAGTTCACAGCGGGGAGAAGCCGTTCACCTGCACAGAGTGTGGGAAGGGATTCACTCAGTCATCTCATCTGCTGATACACCAACGTGTTCACACGGATGAGAGACCATTCAGGTGCGCACACTGTGGTGCTGGTTTCAGGCGATCATCGCAACTCATTGAACACCAGTATATTCACACTGGAGAGAAGCCATTCGCCTGCTCAGTGTGTGGGAAGGGATTCATTCGGTCATCCCATCTGCTGACACACCTGCAAGTTCACAAGCAGCTCCCCGTGTTGGATTTCGTTGTTAATCCATTCAGAACTGAACCATGTTCATTGGAGCCTGTTTCTGTTAATGTTAATAAACTGCAGCCCAGTCATTGACATCATCCAATCAGCTGTTTATTGCCATTTCCTCACGTTCACCAGCCACTGGGCAAAACTGCTAATATTCCTCCTTACCTGAGCTCTGAACTTGCATGTTTTTCTCATTTATCTCCTGCCTCGATTTCCGTTTTGTCCATCCAGCTTGGATGATCAGTTTGAAGCTTTGTCCACATGTAAGCATCAAGAGTGAGACCAGGGGAGAGACTGGGAAAATTGTGAAGCAAGCAGTGAACATGGTACTTTGACAGGTTGAGAGCAGAGTGGGTGGCTAAGAGCTGGAAGAATCATGAGACTTAGCGGTTTGGAGTCATGAGAGCAGAGTGGATGGATCTATGAAGTGTGGGACCACCAATGGGATTCAGAGTTTTGGCAGCGGTGAACCTGTGTGTGTTTGGAGGATGCCTGAACGTGTGGTCAAGGGTGTCCACGTGTTTCTCTATGTGCATTGGTCGCTGTGCATCTGTGTGGATGTGTGTGTGTTTGGAAATTGGAGTCCCCTTTAGCGTATTTAGTATTTTGTCTGAAGCATGAGACTTCATTTAACTATGTTACAGTTGTAACTAGCCTTCTACAAGCATAAACAAAAGGTTTATTGGTCACACTGCCCTATTATGGAGTGCGTGGTCTTTGAAGATACGTTTTTGTCATTGGAAAGAATGAAAACTAACTTTCAAATAGGGATAGGCAAGAGGACAATAGTCATCTTGTGGTCATTGGCCATGAGGGTTTAAATAGGTGATTTATATAACATTGGTGGCCAACCTGCAAAATAATGTATATCAACAAGGATAGCTGGGTAGAGAGGAGGAGGAGGAGAGAGGGAGGGTCCAGGGAAACAAACCACCACTATCTTGGGAGAAGACCTGGAGTTCCCAAAGAAAGAACAAAGATTGTTGCCATCAAAAACTGCACAATATCAGTGACAAACAACCCATCACTTCAAAACTGCCAGTCCTGATCCACCATTCTATAGAACAGCTTCAGGTTCAGTGAAGCATTTGCACTGTCAGTCGTATTTGGTTTTGTATTATTAACCAATGTATCATATAAACTGCAGCTTAATAAAATTTCAGAAAATTGCTCCAAATTGACGACTGCCTACAATTAGGTAAAGTCACCCTAGTCCCAGAGGACCATAGGGCCTCACTGTCACGGAGTACAAACTACTGGTGAGTTTAATGTAGTGTGTGGTGTGTGTATTGGATGCTGTGTGTTTGTGTGTGGGTATCTTTGACTGTGCTGCTTGTTTAGCAACTCCTCTGTACTGTTCTGAATGACAATGATATTAGCCTTCATCTTAACCTGTCCTAATTCTTCTGCCGGTTAATTTATTGGAAACAGGGACTCTCTTTGTTCTAAAGGTGACATTCCCTAAATACCTAGTCATTTTTAAGTAGTCATTTGTTTACACACTATTTCACCATGGTATCCATTTCTGTAACAAATTTGAAATATTTCCTTCAAACAGACAGGGTTTTATCTTTATCTGATTGATCTGGGGAGTGAGAAGGTATTGGAGGTTTTGGTGGGCTTAAAAGTGGAGAGATCCCCAGGTACAATTAAGTTGTTTGCCAGGCTTCTGTGATAAATGGGGAAGAAAAAGCACAGGGGCTCTGATCCAAATTTTAAATTACCCTCTGGCCACAAAGGAGGTGCCACAGGACTGAGGACATGAAATATGGTTCCACTTTTCAAGAAAGGTAGTAAAGCTAAACTAGGGAATTATGACCAGTGAATCTTGTATCAGCTATAGCGAAACTATTGCGGATAATTCTGATGAGAATTAATCTCTGAATTAGAAAGCGAGGCTTGATCAAGGATAGTGGCTTGATCAAGGATAGTCAGCATGACTTGGTTAGAGGGTGATCATGACTAACAAATTTGATTGCATTTTTCAAAGAGGTCACAAAGTGTGATGATAAGGGTAGTATAGGTCATATGGATTTCAGCAAAGCTTTCGATATGGTCCTACATGAGACACTGATAAAGAAGGTAAAAACACATGGGATTCAGGATAACTTGGCAAGTTGAATCTAAAATTGGCTTAGTGGCAGGAGACAGAGGGTGGTGGTAGAAGGCTGATTGTGAGACTGGAGGCCTGTGGCTTACCACAAGGATCAGTGTTGGGTCGTTTACTGTTTGTGCTGTGAATGTTGCATGGTGTGGAGGAGTGTGGAATGAAAAATAAGTTTGTGGGTAATACTAATACTAAAATTAGCTGGGAGGTTGACAGTGAAGAAGGTCTTGGGTTACAAGAGGACATAAACTAATTTGTCAGATGGACAGATCAGTGATAGATGGAATTTAAGCTTGCTAAGTGTGAGGTGATAATTTGGAAGAAGTAACAGAACAATTGGCATTCAATGAACGACAGGACACTAGAAAACTCGGAAACAGAAGGAACTTGGGCTGCATGGCCACAAATCCCTGAAGGTGGCAGGGCAGGTTAATAGAGTAGTTAAGAAAGCAGACGGATAACTTTATCAATCAAGTTGTAGATTGTCAGATCAGGGAGGGTATATTGGAACTGTCAAGATTTTGGTTTGCCCAGAGCTGGAGTACTGTGTGTAGTCCTGGTCTCCACACTACCGGAAGGATGTGATTGCTCTGGAAGGGTGCAGAGCAGATTCACCACCATGAATCCTGGGATTGAGTATTTTAGCTGTGAAAAGAGGCTGATAAGCTCAGGTTGTTGGAGCAGAGCAGGTTGAGGGGCTCTCTGCTTGAGGTGTGTAGAATTATGAGGGGAATAGGAAGCGGCTGTTCCCATTAGTTGAAGGGTCAGTAACAAGGGGGCATAATTTTAAGGTGAAAGGCATGAGGTTGAGAGGGGATTGAAGGAAAAAAATTCTCCCAGAGGGTGTTGGGGGTCTGGCATCACTGCCTCGGATGGTAGATGAGATGGGAACCTTTTAATATGTACTTTGATGAGCACTTGCAATGTTATAGCATTCAAGGCTATGAGCTTAGTGCTGGAAAGTGGGGCGAGTGCAGACTGAATGTAGTTTTGGTGGTACAGACTTAATGGGTTGAAGGGCTGTTTTGTACTGTATGATTAAGCACATGCTTACTTATCTTAGTGCAAGAGAAACTAGATGAAAAGTAGACTGCACCCTGTTTCAGAGGCTGTACAGACTTGATGGATTGAAGGGCCTCTTCAATATATGATTGTATCATCTGTTTAAAGCCAGAAACAGAGCTCCAGCGATCAGGGCTCAGTTTCACCCCTTATCTGGTTGGGGGTTCAGCCAGGCCCCATTGTAACTGAAGTATGAGCAATGTAGGCACCAGCCCTGGGAGCAGAAAAAAGGTATCCGGCTGTATTTCCAGGATGAGAAGCTCTCCAAGATTGATTCTGGTTTGCAGCCACGGGGCTTCTCACTCTCAGGCACAGGGGTATAGACCCCATCCTGGGGCAACCACTGAGGACAGCTCTCATTTGAGGGAGTGGGTCAGTCAAGAAAGTATTCCATTTTGGGTTGGGTGGACTATCAACAAGGCTGTGGTCAGGCAGGAGACCTGGGAAGGTGGGCAGGATTCGCAAAGTCCTGCTGTGAGTCAGGCTCATTGATTTGATTCTTAGTCTGTAGATATGAGCTAGAGAATGGAAGATAGGTAGAGGAGAGGGATAAAATGGGAATGGAGGAAACAAATAGGGGAGATGGGTCTGGATTTCAGCCCAAGGAGGAGGGAGCGATGTGGATGGGAATTTATGGCTTTGGGGAAATGAGAAGAAAAAACAAATAGAAATGGGAATTATCTGCCCTGAACTTCCTCCCTGGACTAATAGTGATGAGTTTTGGAAACTCAGGATCTCGAAAGATGATTTGCAGTTGAGAACAGCAAACTTCACATTGATCTGACAGTTAGATGGTCCATCAGCACCTGAATACCATGGGCCTTTGACAAAGGAAAGATGTTTGTTCTGTCTATGGGAAAGCATTTCAAATATCAGTGACTGAAAAAGTCTGAGAGACACAGACCCCCAAATTGGGGTGTTCCAATGTTGTAACTGAGAAATTTCACTTATTTTTCATAGTTTGAAAAAAGCATGACACCTTGCCCAGCACTGATTAAGCCATGCGTTGTTCTGTTTGAGGACAAAGCTTCAAGTGATTACCTAACCTAGAGAGACACTCAGATGTGCACACCACAGAGGAGAGAAAAAAAAATGTGGAAACAGGCCCTTCGATCCAACAAGTCCACACTGACCCTCAGAGCATCCCACTCAGACCCACCTAAGCTACACATCCCTGGCACTACAGGGCAATTTAGCATGGCCAATCCACCTGGCCTGCACATCTTTGGACTGTGGGAGGAAACCCACACAGACATGGGGAGAATGTGCAAACTCCACACAAACTGTCACCTGAGGGTGGAATTGAACCCAGGTCCCTGGCGCTGTGAGGCAGCAGTGCTAACCACTGTGCCGACCTGATGTAGGGTGTGTGTCAAAGGATTTAATGATGCATTGTTGTGGTCACATTGGGTTCCGCACTATGGAGGAATCATAGAAATATGAGGGCTGCAGTGTAGAATTCAATTATTTATTAAAACTGAAAATCCATCAACACACTCTTGTTGAGGACTGTGGTAAAGGATTCCCTTATGGATACCAGCTGACTCTACATTGATGCGGACAGTTAGGGTGTTGGGGGCAGGAGCCATTCAGCTGCTTTAAGTTTGGAAGGGGATTTACTAAGTCAACCTATCTTATTGCACCAGCAAATTCTTTCCTTTTATTCACCCATGGGGCGTGGGTGTTGCTGGTTAGGTAGCATTTATTGGCCATCCCTAGTTGCCCATGAGAAGGTGGTGGTGAGCTGCCTTCTTGAACTGCTATAGTCAATGCTGTTAATTGCCCCCATCAGGGAGGCAATTGCAGGATGTTGGCACACCAACAGTGAAGGAATAGCAATATATTTCAAAGTCAGGATGGTGAGTGGCTTGGAGGAGAACTTGAAGGTGGTATTATTCCCCAGTATCTGCTATTCTTGTCCATCCACATGGAAACGATTGTGGGTTTGGAAGGTGCTGGCTAAGGATATTTGGTGAATTTCTGCAGTGCATCTTGTAGATAGTACACTGCTGTGATTGAGTGTTGATGCTGGAGGGAGTGAATGTTTGTGGATGTGGTGTAATCAAATGAGTTGCTTTGTCCTGGTAACCCTGAGGATATTGATGGGTGTGGGGTGATTCAAAGATAGTAACATCATTGAATATCAAGGGGTGATGGTTAGATAATCTCTTATTGGAGGTGACATTGCCTGGCATTTGAGTGGTGCAGATGTTCTTAGCCACTTGTCAGCCCGAGCCTGGATATTGTCTAGATCTTGTTGCATTTGAATATAACTACTTCAGTATCTGGGGAGCCAGGAATGGAACTGGGAATTCTAGCAGACAAAACGTGGAGCTGCAGTGGCAGTTTGTAGGGGTAATCATAGAATCCCTACAGTGTGGAAACAGGCCATTTGGCCCAACAAGTCTACACCACCCCTCTGAAGAATATCCCACGCAGACCCATTCCCATACCCTTTCCCTATAACCAAGAATTTCCCATGTCTAACCCACCTAACTTACACATCCCTGGACACAATGGGCAATTTAGCATGACCAATCCACCTAACCTGCACATCTTTGGATGGTGGGAGGAAACCAGAGCATCCAGAGGAAACCCACACAGACACAGGGAAAATGTGCAAACTCCACACAGACACAGGGAAAATGTGCAAACTCCACACAGACTCACCTGAGGGTGGAATCGAACCCAGGTCTCTGGTGCTGTGAGGTAGCAGTGCTAACCACTCAGCCACCGTGCCACCCTAAGAGTAATTCAGGAGTGACAGCAGAAATTTACCCCAAGGAAGAAGAAAGATACTAAGGGGAGGATGAGGCAACCATGGCTGACAAGGGAAGTCCAGGGACATCATTAAAGCAAAAGAAAAACCATACAATGTGGTGAAGATTAGAGGGCAGCCAGATGATTGGGAAGCCTTTTAAAAACCAGCAGAGGATAACTCAAAAAATCAATAAGGGGGGAGAAAATGAAATCTGAGAATAAGCTAGCTAGTAATAAAAGATTGCAAG